GGGCTCCCTCCTCGGATCCCACCCCTCAAACTGCAATATGCTAAGAAAATGTTGCGGAGGAACTCAAACCACTAGGTGTCGTCAAGGCGGCCTCACCGCCGGTCGTGCTTCCTCGCTTGGAGGGCGGCCCGGGAGGCTGAGTCGCTTGCTGGGTCCCCAGCACTTTATCTGCGCAGACCGTTCCGCGGACGCACGCGGCGCGGTGACCGCCTCGGCTCCCGGGCAGCCGCAACACAAAAGGAGTGTGGGGGGGCGGGGGAGGTGTTCCAGGGCCACCAGCTGGTCCCGCGGCCGGTCCCCACCTGCCTGCTACACGCTGTCAGCTGTGTCGCCCTAGGGCGTTTTTTCGGCGCAATCTCAGGTTGCGGCCAACTGCTGCAGGAGGAAGAGGCGGAAATTCAAGGTCTCGGTCTCGAACTTGCTTTCTAAAAACTTTTTTTCCTTTTAGGTACTTGTCCAAAAGTCTTACTTGTCTTTTTATCCCCGCCACCAGAGTATGATTTAATCGCTCCAAATCTTGAAATAGAAAAATCCTGATGGCTCTACCTGCGAAATACAACCCAAACCCATACATTCAGTACCATTTCACCATCTAGTGCTCCAGTCTAAAACATCCTTTATTTTAATTTTTCTAAAATTCAGGCTCCTAGTACAAAATTATCAAACCATTAATGTCTTTCAAGCTTGCTTGATATTCTCCAAATTTTGAATAGCAAACATGTTATGAGTGCTGCTTTGGTTATAAAACTCAGAATAACATGAAGAAGCCAAAATAAAAGTTGAGTTTTCGGCTCGGCGCCTGTGGGTCAAGTGGCTAAGGCGCCAGCCACATAGACCTAAGGTGGTGGGTTCGAATCCAGCCCTCCCGCCAAACAACAATGACAGCTGCAACCAAAAAAAAAAAAAAAAAATGAGCCAGGTGTTGTGGTGGGCGCCTGTGGTCCCAGCTACTTGGGAGGTGGAGGTGGCAGGAGACTCAGTTGAGCCCAGGAGTTGGAGATTGCTGTGAGTTGTGATGCCATTGTACTCTACCCAGGGGGGACAGCTTGAAGCTCTGTCTCAAAAAAGAAAAAGAAAAAAAAAGTTGAGTTTTCGAAGGTTAATTATAATGAAATATTATATACTTCTAAAATTATTTATGTATTTATTTATTGCCCTGGGTAGAGTGCTGTAGCATTTCAGCTCACAGCAACCTCAAACTCTCAGGCTCAAGTGATCTTGTCTCACCCTCTAGAGTAGCTGGAACCGCACCTGGCTAGTTTTTCTATTTGTGGTAGAAGTAGGGTCTTGCTGTTGCTCAAGCTGGTCTGGAACTCAGCAATCCATCTGCCTGGGCATCCCAGAGTGCTAGGATTACAGGCGTGAGCCACTGTGCCCAGCCCACACATTGATTTTATTTGTTTCTCTTTTTCTTTTCTTTTCTTTATTTTACGCTATGTTGCCCTGGGTAGAGTGCTGTGGCATCATAGCTCATGGCAACCTCAAACTCCTGGGCTCACACAATCCTCTTGTCTCAGCCTCTGAGTAGCTGGAACTATAGGCTCCTGCCACAACTAAGCTAGTTTTTAGAGACAGTCCCTCTTGCTCAGGCTGGTCTCAACCTCCTAATCTCAAGCAATTTTTCTGTCTTGTCTTCTCAGAGTGTTATGATTACAAGTATGAGCCACTGAGCCCAGCCAACACATTGATTTTAAAAAGGAATTTTTTTGGTCAATTTTAAATTGCTGACATTCATAATAAATTAAAATCCCTGGGATTTGTTAGTGCCCCGATTAACTCTCATGACAACTCTCTTTCCTTTACTTCAAAAAGGGGAGTTCATGATTATTTGACCCCTATTAGGGAACTACCATGTTCTGTACAGATGTTTTGGTAACTCCTTGTTGAAGATTATTAGTTTAGTTTAGTTTAGTTTTTTGAGACAGAGTCTCAAGCTGTTGCCCTGGGTAGAGTGCCATGGTGTCATAGCTCATAGCAACCTCAAACTCTGGGGCATAAACAATTCTCTTGCCTCAGCATCCTGAGTAGCTGGGACTACAGGCACCCACCATAATGTCTGGCTATTTTTCTGTCACAGTTGTCATTGTTGTTTTTAGTTGGCCCAGGCCAGGTTGGAATCTGCCAGCCTCGGTGTATGTGGCTGGCGCCCTTCCCACTGAAGTACTTGCACTGCCTGTTGAAGATTATTATTATTATTATTTGTTTTTTGCCTTGAAGATTATTTTAATGTTGCTTTGTTTTTGGTTTTTGTGAGAGAGTTTCACTCTGTAGCCCAGTCTAGAGTCCCGTAGTGTCATTATAGGTCACTGTAACCTCCAACTTCTGTGATCAAGCCATCCTCCTGCTTCAGCCTCCCCAGTAGCTGGGACTACAGGCATGCACCACCATGCCTGGCTAATTTTTCTGTTTTCTGTAGAGACAGAATCTTTTTATTTATTTATTTACTTATTTATTTATTTATTTATTGAGACAGAGCCTCAAGCTATCCCCTTGGGTAGAGTGCTGTGGCATCACAGCTCACAGCAACCTCCAACTCCTCGGCTGAAGCGAGTCTCCTGCCTCAGCCTCCCAAGTAGCTGGGACCACAGGCGCCCACCACAGGTGCCCGCCACAGCGCCAGGTTATTTTTTGGTTGCAGCTGTCATTGTTTTGGCAGGCCTGGGCTGGATTCGAACCTGCCACCTTAGGTGTATGTGGCTGGCGCCTTAGCCACTTGAGCCACAGGCG